CCCACAGCTGTGCAAAAGCTCTCCTGGCCACTGTTTCTACTTGCTCTTCAAGCAGGAGCCATGAGTCAATGAGGATCCCCAGATGGCATTCCAACCAGAAGAGATAAAGTACAAACCTCATCTATGAGACAGTCATCTGGATCATAATCTTGCATGTCAATAATTTCTGCTGGCAAATTAATGGAGGCAACAGCTTCAGTAAGTATCAGTGCAAACCGCTAGAGAAAAAGGGGGGAAAAATCAGTGAAGATTTATTTCATATAAGGAAGCTAGACTAGGTGACTCTCTGACTGATCCATGAAAGATAAATTGTTTTATCTTTATCCCTTGCAATTTTTCAGGGATTTTTGGATTGCAACATAGGGAGGTGCTAGGGCTTAGCACTGAAACAACAGCTGGGTGTCACACATAATCCCCACGACAATTTAAGGATTGCAGACATCAGGGGAAATCCAAGAGGACAGAGACCTTAGAAGCTCCTGCCAGTATAACAGTGGAAAGCACTGGACTGGATGGGCCAACATTTCCATTGTTACCCTAACTTTTGCAATCCTAAGAATATTGTATTGTACTGTGGCCACCCTTAGCAACTCTTGTGCATGGAAGATGGCCCTACATACAAATTAACATATCTAGACTGGAAGGAAAAAAAACCCCACTCTGAACCGGACTGAGAAGGACTTTGAGTGGGAGCTTATAAAAGCAGAAATGGACAGCCTGCCACACCCAACTTCCCAAACCTTTTGGGGCAGTTCCTTCTGATCAAAAATCAGCAGTAAGGCTTCCAAGCATTTTAAAGTGGAAAAATTCTAACTTTACAGTGTACCCCCTAAAAATAGGCTTACCACAATGAAAACAAAACATCAGCCTCACCACAACCCACCACAACCCCCAAAAATCCTACTCCTTTCCATGAGCAGCCACACGCACTTTGCTTCATCAACTCTCATATTGCAGCCCTTGCCCTCTTGCTCTTGCTATAAGGAGACACAAAGCTCCAACAGGACTCTGATAACTCTGTGCACCACCGTGTTGGCTTGCTGAAGGCAGATACTGTTCCCTACTCTGATATAGCATAACTGCTTCAAATGGCCCAAGAAGGACACTTAATTTTATTCCCCAACCACAACCCCAGTGAGCTTGGACCAAGAAAGTGTCATTGGCTGAAAATTACCCGGAGAGCTCCATGACTGAATGAGGATTTGAACTGTGATCTCTCTACTGCAAATCTAACACCTGAAATGCTACATACACTGGCTACATGACAGTTGCAAATTCCAGGCAGGAATCATGGGATGTAGCAGCCAAGAAGCCTCTAATTTTGATCCAGTTGTTGAGTAGAACTACTCACCACCTAAGGAAACATTGGACAGCACTCCAATTGCCCTTCTTATGTCTCTTCTCCACCATCACCACATCACCACTCCCCCAAAAATCTCACAAATTACTTCATTACAAGTAACACAATTTCAGGGCTCATTAGGACAATATTCAGTAAGACCAGCTGCAAAGGCCCAAACTCTGAAGATAAGAATTAACCAAAAACTATTTCTGAGTGTGCAGGGGGGGAGGGGGGGTTTCTCCCTGAAAATGAACAACCACTTCTATTCAACTAAAGGAGAAAAAAACATGGCTGCAAGATGAGTTAATTCTTCTCTTGCTGGATTAATGCAATATTTACCTTTGCTGTTCCAGTCTGGGAACCATAGAATACCTTCACTCCAGCTACATGGACTTTGTCAAGGCTTGTATCTTGCTGTTCTTTTTCAGCAGCTGTGGTTTTAGGAAGGCTTAATTTTGCAAGGTGATTTTTGTTCTACAAAGGAAATATTTAAACAACAGAGTCCCAGAAATAAACTTAGCCTTTCTCTTCCTGCTGCCATTAAATAGTCACTCAACCCCCCAAGGCAGACATTGTACAAGTTAGAGAGAAAGACAGTTTTGTCCAAGAAACTTTTCTCTTATAGAGGAACACATCCTGTGCCTGAACAAGAGGAATTAAGCAGGCAGGCAGGAAATATCAACTGATACTGAGAGGACAACAAATCAACTTGTCATTCTTGAACAATCATTCTCAGGCACCGCTCAGAAAACTGGTAGTTCACCCTACTCCTAGCTGCTATGGTTGCCAATAATGTCATGTGATTCCAGATGTACTCTGCACCAGGTATTACACACACACACACACACACAATTCTATAGATAGATTTCATTTCCCTGGAAAAAACAATAAATTGCAACTATATTTGTGTAGTTTGCTTCACAGGATTTAATTTCTGAATAAACCTGCACAACAAGACAGTACTATAGTTCTGGTGGAAAGGATTTGCCCCCTTTGGGATTTGTTTGGGGTATATTTTTTGCCACTGAATGTTCTGATAACATTTCAGGAGCTCCATATCAGTCGCTGAGTTTCCTTGTTAGTACTAATTGCCATTCCTTTTAACTCCCTTCTGTTCATGTAAGTTCTTTATTAATCTTTAGAATCCTTGTACAGTACCATGGAAGAAAAAATATTTGCCTTCTTTTGGATGTTTTTAATTTTTGCATCTCTTTGCCACTGAATGTTCTGATAACATTTCAGGAGCTCCATATCAGTCGCTGAGTTTCCTTGTTAGTACTAATTGCCATTCCTTTTAACTCCCTTCTGTTCATGTAAGTTCTTTATTAATCTTTAGAATCCTTGTACAGTACCATGGAAGAAAAAATATTTGCCTTCTTTTGGATGTTCTGATAACATTCAGTGGCAAAGAGATGCAAAAATTCAAAACATCCAAAAGAAGGCAAATATTTTTTCTTCCATGGTACTGTACAAA